ATGGAGGTGAGGAGAAAACCAAAGCTGTCACTTTGTATACTAATTCATCTCTTGTCCAGAGACACATGGAGGACTTTTTCTTCCAAACGTTTCAGCCAATCCAGTTACTCTATCATTAATTAGCGCTGGTCAATTTCATCTTATTTGCCCTAAGCTGATCTATTTGACCTGGATATAAAATAATTATATACTGGTAGTTGGGAGATATCAGAAGGAAGGTGTAGAGCTAGAAAAGGTCAGAGTAGATCAGAACAGTCTTGAATGCATCCTATATGAGGTATGAGTCTGGCTAAGATTCAAATAGCCTGACATAAGGCCGATCTATATCAGAGTGCAGATATCATTCATGGCTGAAGTAAATTGTCATGCAAGTGTGATAAAATAGAACATAAAATTTAAATGTTGGAACTGTAATAAATAAAGATGTTGATTCTGCAGAAATTGATTTTCATTATTGAGGGGTTTGTATTTGCAATAAAGGCAATGTATGTACTGTATCCTTGACTTCATGGTTAGCTACTATATTCTCATTGAATTTCTACACAAATGTTTGCTATCATACCCTAAAATCAGAAGGAGCACCTTTACACATAAATTTATTTTAGTAAATTGTAGTTATTATATTTTAGTAAAGTTAAGCAACTACTACAACTCACTTTCTCAGCTAAATGGCATGGCTAACTAAACTAATGTTGGATCAGGCTTGTGTTTGCTGAGATTTTGACTCTCTGAAGTAGACAGAAACCATTTAATGTTTGTAAGGTTAGCAGGCTCTAAACTGAAAAATGTACTTTGAGATCTGTAATGGAGTGTCCTGGAAGGTTTAAAAAAAACTGTTTTGGATGAAAGAAACTAACCAGCACAGTTAAGCAAGACACAACTGAATTCACATACAATCAAAGGTTTCTGTCTACCCCACATCTCAGCAACCAAAATGGAGATTTTTTTAAAACACACTGCAATTCTTAATGCATAAGGTACTTCAATTTGTCTCTTATGTAACCTGCATATGCATTATTGCATTATTGTTCTGACTTTCTCTTCTTTTCCCAATTCTCATCACAATTCAAATCCTATATCAGTTTAGCATAGGATATTGGATAGCCACAAATACAACCTTAGAGCAACCTTAGAGCAAAACTGCAGAATGGTTATGAAAATAAAACAATGTGTTCAGAACATGAGGAAGTAGCTAAATCTGGTTCCACCTTAATTCACTGAGTTATATTAGATTTTTTACAACCCCTGGTAAGCCCCAATTATGGGAGGAAGCTAACTGCTTCCATCATCTGTCCTTCGGCTCGTCACAAGATCTCTGCCTAGTATGCCTAGTGTGCAATATAGCCCAGGTTCAAATCCCAGTAAGGGTATGGCTAGCT